TTTAAAAAAATGAGGAAGAGGGTTCTCTTTAGGATGTAATTTTTGGTATAAACGCATAGTATTAATATAAGTCCCCTGGTTTGGACACGTTGGAGGGAAGTTTGAGATTCTGTAGCCTGCAGGTAAAGGATAACATTGGATCTTGCAAGGTTTAAGACTGTAATTTTGAACTTAACCTGAATCCCTCAGATGCCATTGTTGGCAATGGCATTTCTTCGTGGCTGGAGTGCGGTACTCCTAGTTGGGACTTCGGAGCCCTGGCCAGGTAAGCAGGAAGCCGCCGCTGCAGCAGCAGCAGGAAACTCAGGAGAGTGTCCCACTGACGGAATCTCAGGCCGCCAAGTGGCTGCAAGCGCTTTCTGCGTTCGTCAAGAAGAGTATTGAAAGGTGCGAGACCAGGCTCCAGAGTCAGCCCCGTGTCACGGTTCTAGGCCGGTGACTGCCTTTTCTGCTTCAGTTACCTCATCAGCAAACTGAGGATGAGAAAGCCCGCCCCACTCCCGGAGAGTGTTGTAGGGATCGGAGGGAACTTGATTATGTAAGGTACCGTTATTGCATCTTAGAGACCTGCTCTCCTATATTCGAGAAGACAAAAGTGAAGGGTTGAGGGGGTTTAGCTCAGTGAGTGGGGTGAGACGAGACCATCCAGTGGCGGGGCTGATGGAGTGAGCACGCACCAGGAACGCCCCACTGTGTCGTGTGTTCCGTGAACAAGGTGACTCTCAAAAGCAGGACGGGGAGGGGAGGTGGTCTGTCAAGGTTCTACTGAGTCATCCATACTTAGTTGCCATCAGCTGTTTCAAGTCATATGGGCCAGTGCCTTTTCTCAGCCCTTTAGAGCCACTTCTCCGGTTTGATGATGTTCATCAATCTGGCATGCGTGTGCTCAGTCGTGTCCAACTCTGTGTGACCCCATGGACTGTAGCCCGCCAGGCTCCTCTGTCCATGGAATTCTCCAAGCAAGAATACTAGAGTGGGTTGCCATGCCCTCTTCCAGGGGATCTTCCCGACCCAGGGATCGAACTGGTGTCTCGATCCCTGCATCTCCTGCATTGGCAGGCAAGTTCTTTACCTCTAGCGCCACCTGCTGCTGCTGCTGCTACTAAGTCTCTCCAGTTGTGTCTGACTCTGTGCGACCCCGTAGACGGCAGTCCACCAGGCTCCCCCGTCCCTGGGATTCTCCAGGCAAGAACACTGGAGTGGGTTGCCATTTCCTTCTCCAATGCATGAAAGTGCAAAGGGAAAGTGAAGTCGCTCAGTTGTGTCCGACTCTTAGCGACCCCATGGACTGTAGCCTACCAGGCTCCTCCGTCCGTGGGATTTTCCAGGCAAGAGTACTGGAGTGGGGTGCCATTGCCTTCTCCATAGCGCCACCTGGAATCCCTCAATTTGGCATTTCATCTTAATTGAAGTTAGGTGTATCTTTTGCTCACCGAATTTGTAAATTGTTAGGAAATACAGATAAGTTGATGCGTTTGCCTGCCTGCTTGCCTGAACTTTTTCTCGGTGGTGACCTCAACTCTGTGATTTCCCTGTTGCCAGCCTGGAGCCACCCTCGTCCTCTCTGGGAACATCGTCTCATACACACGGCCTTCTCGTTTCACTGGCCGTCGGAAAAGGTTATGTTCACAGTAGCTTTCTTCTTCCTTCTGTTGTAAAAGGGTTCCCATTGTGCCTGGATTGCTTGCAGCTCCGATACTTCTCGAGTGAAAGATTTGTCGTTATTGTTTAGTTGCTAAGTCATGTCTGACTCATTATCCAGGAAGGGCATTGTGTTTGCTCGCCCTAATTCATGATCAAGTTCAGTATGAGTTAAGATCTAGTGCTTAATGGGCTTCCCTGGTGATTTAGTCAGTAAAGAATCACCTGCAATGCAAGAGACCTGGGTTCGATCCCTGGGTCGGGAAGATCCCCTGGAGGAGGGCATGGCAACCCACCCCAGTATTCTTGCCGAGAATCCCATGGACAGAGGAGCCTGGTGGGCTACCTGCCTGAGCAACTAAACCACCACCACCACCACCTTAGTTAGGTTTAGGAATTGTTCCTGGTCAGGCCCCTACCTACCCCTGCCCTCCCCTCCTGCCACAAACACCCCCAACCCTGACATTCTCACAGTAGCTGTGCCATACAAATGGATAGTTGTTTGCCTGTGTGGAGTTGGCTTACTATATTATTCTATTCTTTACCAAAGAGACCCTTTTCTCAGATTCCTCTGGGGAATTCATTAGTGGTAAGGTGTGTGTGTCTGCCCCGGCCACCACTGTGGATGTTTCAAGGAGTTTCATTTTAGATTTTTGTGGGAAAAAAAATAATAATTAAAAAAAAAAAAAAAGATTTTCGTGGAGTATTGACCCAGAGCTTCTGTGAAGGGCAAGAAGCAGAGGAAGGAAGAGAACAGATGGGCCCTTCCTGTGCTTCCAGTCATTTCCAAAACAAAGACATTCCATTTGCAGACATTCTAGTCCTTGAAGCTAAGGGCAGCAGCAAAGTGATTTGATTTACCTTCTTGGTCAAACACTGCCCGTTCTTTCCAGAGTTATAGGAAAATTGATGTATCAGCCTCATTATTTGTTCTTCTAGACAATAAAATTAACTCAAGCTATTGAATACTTACTTTATTGCTGTTCCCATTAAGTCCAGGAATCTGCAGAGATTTTCAGAAACCTGAGCTTTTGTTTCTCCAATTTCAAGAAATTTCTGTATAAGCTTTTGTCTTGCTGGGGCCATCACTTGTCTGGTTTCCGTTGTAGGCTGGTTCAAAATCTTGATTTTGCCAGGAAGAGTCAGGCTTTAGGAATTTCTGGCACCCTAGCCAAACTTAGGTCTGTTTGTAAACTGGAATATTCCTTTTCTGCACATTAATTCAACACCCTACTCACAGTGTGGTCCAGTACTGATCTCTGGGCAAAGGAAAATAAAGCATAACTACGATGTGGCCCCTACTGTTTAGAAACTTATGGTTCAGACATGGGAAAGACATGTAAACAAGCATATTATGTATAGTGTGTAGGATGATCTTATGTCCTGGGACATCCTGATGTATGCCTCTTGTCCTGGTGATAACTATTAATAGTTGTTTAGTCGCTCAGTAGTGCCCAACTCTTCTGCGACCCCATGGACTGTAGCCCACCAGGCTTCTCTGTCTATGGTATTCTCTAGGCAAGAATACTGGAGTGGATTGCCATGCCCTCCTCTGGGGGATCTTCCCAACCCAGGAATTGACCCCATGTCTCCTGCAATAGCAGGCAGATGCTTTACCACTGAGCCACAGTGAGAGTCACTATGAATGTTCAGGGTATAGAGATGGTGGAAAGCAGGAAGAATTCCCAGAGGAGACACCTGCGCTGGTATCTTTGGACCTTCAAGGTCTGAGGGCTTGAGGTCAGGGTTGGGGTGGGGGGAAGAGTGTGCAAAACACTGCAGGCAAAAGGGAAATTGTTCCAGAAGCAACATTCAGTCAACTCAAGCTAGTCATCATTCCTAAATTTATCCTGTGGAATAAATTCCCTGGGACACTTAGTCACAATACAGATTTCTAGAACCTGCTGGGGCAATTTGGATTTGGATTTAAAAAAATTCTTTTTTTCCAGTCTAAGTGCTTGTCTTTTTTTTTTTTTTTTTTAATGTTTATTTGTCTGCACTGGGTCTCAGTCGTGGCATGTGGGATCTAGTTCCGTGAGCAGGGATCGAACCTCAGCCCCCCTGCACCTAGAAGCTTGGAGTCTTAGCTGGTGGACCACTGAGGACCTCCCCTGGATTTGGATTTTTAAAGAAGGGTCATAGATGATTCTTGGACATAGTAAAGTTTCAGAACTAATTCTGTAGGGATTGTGGCTACAACTCTAAAGGGCTGGAGCAGAGGAACAGCAAGGCTAGAGGAGGAGTCACAGATCAGCCAGGCAAAGGTGACCTGGGCTGGAAAAACCCTCCGAGGTAGAACCGGTTGGGAGACATTTACAGAGGATCTACGAAAAATGGGGACTGCAGGAATCATAATGGAATTGCAGAGGAATGAAAGGATTTGAGAACATTCAGGAGTAAAATGAACAGGACCTAGTATATGACAATTACTGATGTATATGTGTGTGTGCGTTTAGTTGCTCAGTTCTTTCCGACTCTTTTTGACTCTTTGGACTGTAGCCCCCTAGGCTCCTCTCTCCATGGGATTTTTCAGGCAAGAATACTGGAGTGGGTTGCCACTTCCTCTGCCAGGGGATCTTCCTGACCCAGGGATCAAACTCACGTCTCCTATGTCTCCTGCACTGGAGACAGATTCTTTACCTACTGGGCCATCAGGGAAGCCCACTGATGTATATAGACAATATCATTTCCAAGCAACAAAACACTTGTGTCAGATCCAGGAACCCGGGGAACCTTATAATCTGAAGGGTTGTGTGGTGAGCCATAAACCTAAAAATACAAACAGTGGGATAGTGTTGTGGCATGTTTCACATAGACCTAATAAAACAACTCCTGCTTATTTTGTAGTCTCCAGAACGATCAAAACTGTTGTGTTTATCTCTGGGAGCTGGATGAATTGCAAAGTATCCAGACACCCCAGCCCTCTTGTCTAGACTTCAGGCAAACCCCTGCCCTTCTGTTATGGTTAAGACCCACTCGCCAGGCCTGTTATCTTGCATCATTTTTGTTTTTGTTCTTGTTATCAAAATGTGTAAGGCAGTCATGATTCATCGACAGTATGCTATGCCAACCACTTTCAGAGGAAGACGTCTATCTGGCAGTGTCAGCCTTTGTTCTTAATTCTGGAGCTGCTCTTTCTGTGGGAACCTGCAACTCTGTTAATTAAGAGTAGGATAAGAAACACCTTTATCCAGGCACGAAGATCGTGAAGCCCAGTCGGTTGAGGCAATTGATAACGCCATCCCTAAGCTGAATTCCTGGAATGAAAATGAAGAAAATCCGAGGACAGCTCTGCTACTTACTTCCCTCTCTCTTCAAACATAGAGTTGGGTTTTTGTTTTTTTTTTCCCCCTTTGAAGGCTGAAATCACCAGGCCTGTTGACCGACTTTCGAAGCAGCAAACGGAGTCAAAAACTGAAGTTATGAAAAGAAAGCCTCAAAAAAAAAAAAAAAAGAATGGGAGACGGATCAGGCTATAATTTCAGTGTCATTTAGCACCCTTTACTCAAGATCTGGCCACGGCGCGTCCACCAGTGCGGACTGGGGAGCGAAAAAAGTATCTAAAAATTCCAGCCCTTGGCTCCTCTTGTACCACCACTGAGGGATCTGACGGGCGAGGGTGAAAAGGCTGACATTTTCCACGCCGTTCTATCAGAAAGGGGAAACGCCGTTAACAGCGGCCTCAAAAGTTGGTTTTCTATGGGTTTTTTTTTACAATAAGAGACTGAACTCTGCGAGCCTGTATCACCAACGCCATTAAGTCGCAGTAGCAAGATGAAAAAATAAACAGGGAAGGAGGGACACCCAGCGTGCGCCGACTCGGAAAAACGGGAAGCCGGTAGAACCGTTGACGGCGCCCAGGTCCTCAGCCAGTCGCCGCCTCCAGAGTCGCAGCAGCCAAGCCCCTTCCCCCGCAGCGCGGGCGCGACCACCGCGGCGCGAAGGCAGGAGCCGACCCGGGCTCCGCTCACCCCGCCCCGAGAAGGCCCCAGGAGGGGCTTCGGCGCCGCGGCCGCGCGTTCGGGAAGGAGGACGAGGAGGGAGCGGTGCGCAGCCTGCCGGCTGGCTGGCTGAAAGGAAGCGCTGCGCCCGCGCCCCCGACGGCGCCCGTGAAACCACATCCGCGCCTCCGCTGGAAGCGCGTCCGGGCCCCTGTCACCGGGTCCCTCCATCTTGAAAGGGAGAAAAAAGCGCTCTCCCGTCCCCGCTCCCCTCCTCCCAGGAGCCGGGGCCGCAGGAGCCGCGCGCATGGCGTTCAGCCCCTGGCAGATCCTGTCGCCCGTGCAGTGGGCGAGATGGACGTGGTCCGCGGTGCGCGGCGGGGGCGCCGGAGAGGACGAGGCCGGAGGGCCCGAGGGCGACCCCGAGGACGAGGACTCGCAAGCCGAGACCAAATCCTTGAGTTTCAGGCAAGTACACGCGTTGCTGCCGAGATGCGGACGCGCTGCCATCCATCCATCCATCCGCGGCTCATTCTGTGTGCGCGCGCGTGTGCGTGTGTGTGGTGTGTGTGTGGTCGCCACCCGCGTTAACCGTGTTCATGGCAGTGCTGCCGTCCCTGCCCGTAACCAGGTCCCCGCTGTGCAGTCGGAAGTTCAGGACGTTGTGCCCTCCCGCCGGGTGTTTCTCTCCCCTCGTTTCAGTGTGAGCTTTCTAAACCTAAACCAGAATCTGCAATCTCTCCGCATCCTCGTGTGCCTCGGTCCCTTACTCTAAGCTTCGAGCCCCCAGCCCCCGCCCCTGCACAAACACACGCACGGTCGTGGATCACACCCGCAGGACACACATACACAGCCTTGGATCACACCCGCTGGACACACACACAGACACACACAGTCCTGGATCACACCCGCTGGCACCTGGGGCCCTCCCTACGGGGAAGAAGTCGCTCCAAGGCCCTCCTGGGACTCCCCTGTGTCCCCGAAAATGCAGCCTTGGTGAAGAAGGTCACGAGATGCCGGGCCCCCTGGCCGCTGGAGGAGAAATGGTCGTCTCTCCTAAGCTGTCAACCCGTGTGATTGCGGGAGGCAGGTGACAGCGTCCTCGGCCTCTGGCCGGGTGCCTTGCAAACAGGTAGAGAGGCCTAACTCCAGAAAAAGGGCATCGTGGCGAAAACTGGCTTCGTGATTTTAGGCTGAGGGGCGATCTGAATTTTTAAGCCTCTGGCAAAGGGCTCTTGTGAGAAAAGGAGTCTGTTGAAGGGGCTTTTGGGAGGCTGTCAGGATGACCTCAGAAATAAACGTTGCTGGAGAAAGGCCCTGGAGGATGGAGGAGATTTCAGGGAGACGGAAGCCCGAGGAGGGTGCTGCTACAGCATTGCACCCTCCCCCCCACCCCCCATCCCGGGCCAGTTCACACTGAGGACCCCCGTGCGGGGTGCAAAGTTAGCAAAAAATACTGGACCTTGTGGAGATGTAACCTGTAAAAGGGTGTCGGAAATACCGTTGAAAGTGGTAATTCCTCATTTTTCCCCCTTGGCAGCTCGGATTCTGAAGGTAATTTTGAGACCCCTGAAACTGAAACGCCTATCCGATCCCCTCTCAAGGAATCCTGTGAGTCAAACCTCGGACTGGCAGGCTCGGGGGCCAAGACCCAAGGTAAGGAAAGATTTCCCTTGTTCTGCTTTTTTTGCTGCTGTTGTTTAAAGTTTTGAAAATGTAAATAAGGGAAGGAAAAGTGTTAATTCAGGGCCATTTTAAAAGGTAGGAGGTTGTCTCCTTACTGAACAGGAGCTGTTTGAAAGCTCCTGGCATATTTGAAATGGTTTATTTGTTTGTATTTTTTCGAGTGTGGAAGCCAGAAGCTTTCTTCTCTAAGTAGGTTGTACATTTTGCAGTAAGAAATTATCATTATCAGAACATTCCTGCTGGGCCCTGAAAAACAAAAATGTGGGTGGTGATGTCGGGATGGAGGTGTGTTTAGATTTGGCTTCACACATTTCTCAGGCCTGCGCATTTTCTTCAGGGTGTGGCTAGAGACGAGAATTATAGGTAGGAGCTGAATTTTTTTAGACAAGCAGGAATCTTAAGAGGTGGTGTCAAAGTTCTTCACCACCCCTGCTTCCACCAGGGATGGTGGTGAGCCCCAGTCCACCCAAGAAAGCCTGGCATGAAGATGCCCTTCTGCGCTCAGAGCCCAACCTTGAGCCTGCCTTTTATCTGCAGAGACTGCTGCTGTTCCTCTCAATTAGCGGAAACCGTTTTTGTCCCACAGCCAGTTCTGAGTAAAATCTCACCTGGCCTGATCGCAGGCAGTTAGCTGTTTAGAGTGGCTGTGATTCAGCAGTGAAAACAGTCCCCATCTCTGCAGGCCAGCGTCATGGAGGGTGACAGGTCTTTCAGAGGTTAAGCAGAATGTACCTACCTGTCAGCTTGGCGTCCCTGGTGGCTCAGCGGTAAAGAACCCTTCTGCAGTGCAGGAGACACAGGTTTGATGCCTGGGTTGGAAAGATCCCCTGGAGGAGAGCCTGGCAGTCCACTCCAGCATTCTGGCCTGGAGAATCCAATGGACAGAAGAGTCTGGCAGGCTATAGTCCTGGGGTCACAAAGAGTCAGACACCATTGAAGTGACTTAGCACGCACGCACGCACCTGTCAGCTTGGTCCTAAGTATGACAGAGAAAAATGGAGCTGGGGGAGGGTTGATAGGAGGTGCTGAAGGCTGATGGGGTGGGGAACCTGACTAATCAGCGGACTTGAACAGAGTCCTGGAGGAGAATTGAGGGGGCATGTGTGCAGTTTCCTGAGGAGAACTCTTCTAGCAGAGAGCATGGCTCCTGGGAAGGTCTGAGACAGCACCAGCCTGAGGCGGAGGGGTGGGGAGGGAAGTGCCCAGGGGGGCAGCATGTTGGAAGTCAGGGAAGGGTCCGGGTGGCTGCAGCAGCGACCAGGCAGGGAGCCGGAGTCAGCCAGGTAGGGGACGGTCTGGGTCTTGTGGTCACAAGGCGTTCATTTTCCTTCTGAGTGAGATCGGAAGGACTGCCTTTAAAAAGTGCCACAAACCAGACAGCTTAAAACAATGGAAATTGGTTCCCTCTCTGTTCTGAAGGCTAGAAGTCTGAAATCAAGGTGTTGTCAGGGCCAGGCCCTTTCCAAAGGTTCTAGGGGTGAATTCTTCCCCAGCTTCTTCCCTAGTTTCTTCTAGCTTCTGGTGGTTGCCGGTGATTCCTGGTGTTCCTTGGCCCGTGGCAGCAAAGCTCCCATCTTACCTGGTCAGCTTCTCCCTGTGTATCTCTGTCTCTTCATGTGACTTTCTGAGGAGGACACCAGTCATTGGAGTTAGCGAGCACTCCAATCCAAGTCGACCTCTTCTTAACTTAATTACACCTACAGAGATACTACAGTTGATCCTTGAGCAACATGGGTTTGAACTGTGCAAGTCCACTTGACACAGATTTTTTTTCACTAAGTATGTTCTAGAGCAGGGGTCCCCAACCTCCAGGATCTAATACCTGATTTTCTGAGGTGGATCTAATGTAATAATAATAGAAATAAAGTACACAGTAAATGTAATGCAACTGGGTTATCCTGAAACCATTCACCATCCCCTACCCCCATCCATGGAAAAATTATCTTCCGTGAAATGGGTCCTTGGTGCCAAAAAAGTTGGGGACCACTGTCTTAGAGTACTACACGGTCCACGGTTGGTTGAATCCAAGGATAGAGAAATGTGGATATGGAGGGTTTTCACCTGTGCTAAGTGGTTGGGGGTAAACACCCCTAACCCCCACATTGTTCAGGGCTCAACTGTCCCGATAAGACCACATTCCCAGGTATGGGGAGTTAGGACTTGAGCTTATCTTTTGGAGGGAATATAGTCCAACCCACAGCAGGGCTTTGAACAGAGGGACAGTGCTGTCACTTCCTTTTTCAAAGGATAGCTGGCTGCTGTCTGGAGAAGGGACTCCAGGATGGAAGTCCTTTTCCTGTGTTTTCTCTATTCCAGTGAGTGTCATTGTCACCTGTAGTGACGAAATAGAGCCAGCTTTCAGTTACCGTGTTACCTAATTTTTGATCAGGTCGTGAATTTATTCTCCCAGCGGTTATTATATTTCCTTGCTTAGCAACTTCCTCATAGGTTGCCCAGGGAGCTCTCAGGAAGTCTGTGCTGGATTTCGTGATGGAGCTGGACTTAGTGGGGAAATGAAACCAGCTTTTTGTGATTTGGTTTTGCTTTCAGTGGTGAGCTCCAGGGACTTCCCTGGTAGTCCAGTGGTTAAGACTCCACGCTTCCAACGCAGGGAGACGCAGGTTTGATCCCTGGTCAGGGAACTAAGATCCTACACACCACGTGGTGTGACTAAAAAAATTTTTTTTAATAGATCAATAAATGGTGAGCTCCATATTGTACTGCCCTGCTGAAAATTCACTTAGCTGGCCCTGGGTCGCTTTTTTACCATGAGTTCAGGCAGAGACCGCATGGGAACAGGCAGCTTTGCATGTTAGAGGACTTGTGTGTG